GGGAAGGGGAGAGGGAGAGGCCGGCCTGCTCCCTTCTTCTGCTTACCTTTCTCCCTCCCTTGCCTTCCGCGCCCTTCTCCATTTTCCTCTCCCTCCTCGCGATGCTGCTCTTATTTCCTCCTCTCCACGAGGATCGGTTTCAAAACAATGTCCAGAATGAACAAAGCTGGGCTGGAAGAAAGTGAAACTCCTGTAGCTGTGTTTGAGTTGGTCCAGCGGGAGATCGAGGCTGGATTTGCACGCCCGCCTCAGGGACAGCCGCCTGTGCCCCTTAGTAGCGTTCGGCAGCCGCTGGAGTTCCGAATGCTCTTTTGAAATACAGCGATTGTTACTGGAAGGGAGAAAGCGTTCTATGGTTTGCTGTGGGTGTCCCCAAAATTCTTGGCGTAGTCGATTCCGTTAGTATGGTAATTGCTGTCGGTTTGGGTGGAATGCTATTGCATTAATTGTTATGTACCGTGTCCTCTCATGACACTCGGGGGGGGGGGACAGGGGGAACCAACGCTTTTTCTCCATTATAGTTGTAGCAAAATTCTGTAGAGAGTAAATATGTGCATCCGCTTAGTGAAATAACTTTTCATAGTGAATTAGAAAGGGTGCATTGCGCACGTTCTTATTTATTGCTTGGATTTTTTAAATGAACTGCTAGATTTCTCCGTTTCTGTTTTGCAGTTTATTTTGTCCCTTTTGTGTTTGTTACCGGCTGTGAAACATTTATACAGCATATTACCGTAGCATGCTTATGTGAGTTGGAACACACCTATGTTGATAATTATTGTAGAATTGTATGGAAGTCCCTGTAAAGTCTAGCTGTATAAAATGCAAGCAGAAGTTTTCAAACTTGGTGCCCGGGCTTCTTGCACCAAAGTTGTTCCGCAAATAACAGTAGCATGGGCATGATGGAATGAATTAAGAACCTTAATTGAACCTTAAAGAATTGTGGTCAAAAGCATAACTAGCTTCAAATTAATTTTAGTTTGTTATTTTATTTTTTTAAGTGAACTTTTTTTCCTCTTTCCAGTATTTTCCTGTAAGAACAGTCAGGGAGGACTATTACTTCCAAACTTTTTAAGATAACGTGCATCCTATTGAGGCTTTCACCATAAGCTTGTGATTAGATCGTACATTCTTCTTAGAGATTGTTTCATTGTGAGATCTTGATGTAGGTTGTCGTAGTTGCCTTCAGCCATTATTGAGTATATGCACTGCAGATTCTTTCCCAACTGACGAGAAAGAAATGAATAGTAGTAACTCTTTCATACCACATAAATACGGTATTACAGCAATCTTTCTCATACAGGTTATTGTCCTCAAATGACACAAAAATACATGTAAAGAAGCTGATGTGATTAAGAAACCTCTCTGTTGAGGTAGTTGTTTCAAGTATAGTTACAGATCTGTGGAACAGTTTTGTGCTCAGCTCTCTAAAGCCACCCTTTTGGAAAAGCTATCCCAAGGGCATGAATGGTTGCTCACTCAAGTTTTGTTCTATTTGATGTGGTTGTAAGTATTGATTATTCTATGGAAATGAGTTTGTGTGACTGGTTTATTCTTGTACTGTTTCTTTGGATCTTAAAGTTGATGTTTGCATATTGCAAAATCATTGTCAAGAGTTACATGAGGTACTTGAATAACAATAATTCTTAGATCCTTCTTTTCACTTTCTACCCACCTTTGCTAGTACATCCAGCATTGAATTGACTAATAGGCGTCACTTCTCAGTTTACACTTATATTTTAGAATTATGCTGAACACTGGTTCCAAAATGCTAGGGTAGTTCTTAAGCATCCTAAGTCTTGAGTGTTTCAGAAAAGCCTAGTGTGTTGCTTAACAATGAACTGCTCAAACACTTTTTTTCCCAAAAAATATTTTGCTACACACATCCTCTACCAACTGTTTCCAAAAAGATGGATGGTCGTATTGATGGTAGACTTTTAATTTTGATATTATTTTTTTAAAATAAAATTGGTGGATGTTTTGTAACACCTTAAGTAGTGAAAAAACCATGTAAGATATTTGTGATGTTCTAGGTCTGAAGACTTGCGTCGTGAATTTGGTCGTTATGGGCCTATAGTTGATGTATACGTTCCACTTGACTTCTACACTCGTCGTCCCAGAGGATTTGCTTATGTTCAATATCCTTTCTTCAGATGGCTGATTAGTGAGGGGTGTTGAAGTTTGAAATTCAAGTTTGTGTAAGAGGTAACAAATCTAAATGAAAAAGCAGTTTACTTTTGTGTTGTATCTAATAAGTGTCTTACTTATATTGTGGTGTTTCATTATTTTTGAAGATTAACTTCTCTCAATTGTTCTTTGCCTATTTGCAAAACTTAAATCAAGTCCAGTAATATAAAAGCTTGCTTATGTCGCTGAAACTAATACTATATGATTTAAATGAAAATTTATCACTGACTCAGAATTGTCTAGCACGTTTTTATTATCACTGGTATGTAAGTAAACTTGTGCTTAGCAAACTGTGGCTGGTATTCATTGTTAATTTAACAAATGGAAACTGGAATCACTTGATCAAAATCAGATTGTATAAAAAAATGAGGTGAACTTCTTTCTTTAATATTGTCCCCTAATTTACTGTCCTCTGTTGTTGCCTCAGAATGTAAAGCTGTACAGTAATGGCGACCCCAAAGAGAAAGCATGAAAGAACCTTTAGAGTAGAGTTCAACAATTAAGGCAAGTAGACAAGCCAAAGACCTCTTAAGGATCAGGCTTGAAGAGAAGGGAGAGTTTGGGAAAAGAAAAAATAAAGAAAAGCTGGAAGAAGGACAAGCCATAATGGGAGACAAAGCTTCGCTTTATCTACAAAAGGGGGAAAAGGTTGTTTTTCAAAGTAAAAGATAAAGCCATCTGTCATTTTTGGCCAAGCATCTCATGACAAGTCCTTCTGACAAGCACTTAAAGAGTTAAAGGTCAAGATGAAGTTGAATGGTGGCCAAGATTAAAGGAGTCATACCTGATGTATCCTACAGAATAACAGTTTTTCTTCTGTTTGTCACGTAAGCAGTAATTTGATGAATGATTCTGGTTTAGTCCATTGACAAAACCTGTAATATTTCTCTCGTAAGTGCTATTGTAATGTGGTCTTGAATGAAAGTACATTCGTTCTTGGTTTATCAAGATATATACCTACAACGTGATAGTTTAGTTTCTGCATAGATGATGCTGCTGCTGAACTGAGTTGCTACAAGCAGAAAGGCAACTTGTTCTCTCAGGTCACATAGCTGGAAGAAGGTGCGTGAATTACAGTAATGGTCAATCTTGTGATTAAAATTAGTAATGTCTGTGTTACTGAACACCTGACCTGACTGACAATGTAGGGTTTTAGTGTATGTTTTTATCTCGGACTGTTGAAGGTCTGTATACATGTCCATAGCATTACATAATTTAAACTTAAAATCAGTTGGTGAAGAAAAGGAAAACTTTATCCCAATTCTAAAATTAATAGACACATGTTAATTTTTACTGTTGGCATGGCTAACGTAATCTGAGAACCAGGGGTTAATTTTGGTAAAGTCAATGTAGTGGAAAGAACTGAATGACCATTAACAAATGTATTTTGAAAAGGATACCGGGTTTTGTTCCTTGCATAAGTACAAGTGGGAGAAGAAAAAAGTTAAGAGTATCATATAGCAACTTCTTGCTGATGGATGAGTTCATGGTCATATTATGAGATTTTAATTTTATTATAGGAGTTCTCAGATAGCTGGTGGTTGATTAAAAAAAATAAAATAGTGTGTACTGTAGCATGACCAAAAGAACCCTGTAAAATTAGAAAATAACTGATTTTTTTTTTTTAAATACCAAATCTATAAACCACTCAAATTCCCAAGTACCTTAACACTCACCACATTTGAAGATGTCCGTGATGCAGAAGATGCTCTCCATAATTTGGATCGTAAGTGGATTTGTGGTCGGCAAATAGAAATCCTTCGGAAGAGTAAGTGCCTTGCGTGTATTTCATCATACTGATTTTAGCCTTAATGTTTAGTGCCAGGCAACACTACATGTGTTATTAATTGTTGTGATAGGTTGTCACTAGTATAGAAATAGTATGTGGATGTTTTGCTTTTTATCCAGTAACTATTAATGACTCATTTTAATTAAAACCAGATAACTAAGTATAACGGTCACTAACTACAATTTGAGTCTTGCTGCTAGCTGAAAATTCTTAAGAGCTTTCTGTGCAGCTCTACCAGGCTTTCTTTGCAGAAATGCACTGTTGAAAATTCTCCCTGTCAAAATGAGTAGCCCTGTTTTAATGTATTGCAATGTTTATATTGTGTTGGAACGTATTAGTGATTCTGTGTTGATGTTTCCCAGTGCGGTCAAATTTCCAGGATTGAGGTAATGTCTTAATTTTCATTTAGCTTCAGGATAAAAGTAAATTGCAAGGTGTCTCAATTCAACATGGAAGAGAAGTCTTATTTTCTGAACAGATAATTATAAAGAGAACTTACATCTTTTCCATCTGTTATTCATATACATATTCTTAATATATAGATATAAATACTATATAAAAATAAAACATGCTGTTGATAAACCTGACACATACCTGTTGATCTAAAACAAGACTGTAATACTCATGCAGCTTGGGAATAAAAGTGCCTTAAAGATCTTTCAGTTAACGCTGTCAAAGAAACAACCTAACTGTCCAGCTTTCCCTCAAATACGCACATTTAACTTCTGTTGAAGTCAATTGAAATTATATGCTCTGAAGGATGAGCTTCTGTCCTGTATATAAACATTAGGATTTCTTCTAAGTTTCTGAACAAAAATTAATGAAATCTATTTTAGTGTTGTAAACAGCAATGCTTAAAATATAAAAATTGTAGCCGTTTAGCACAGATAGTGTTCATTACAGCGTGTTTAAAATACTTTGAGTGCAGTCTTTGGGTTTGAATGAGAATGGGATTTAATACACAGGAAAGACAGCGGTGCTGCTTAGAGAAAATACAACAGGATACTAAGAAGTTCATTCAGTCTTCTTAATTATTTTAATAAGTAAGCTACGGAGTGAATGTGCATTGTTGTACTGGCGGGGGGGGCAGTACTTCTCTTTGTGTGGCATCCATTGTTGCTTCTGTATAAGCTGTCTTTTAATCATTAAAGACGACTGTGGATGAGGTTTAATGTGTGGTGCTATATTGTCAAGAAAATGGGTGTTTAATTAAATCCCTGTTAGCTTTCACTTTTGGGGTAAGTTCAAGAATGTTAGAATGTTTCAGTGATGGGTTTGGCTTGTCACACCAGTTTCTAGGTGGCCTGAAATCACCTTAGCCAGTTCTGGGTTTATAGAGCATTAGTCCTTTCTTACTGGTTTTTGGGTTGCCTTTTTTTTTTTTTAAACCCTAGATTCATAATGCCTGCAAGGCTGCATTAATTTTTGTCCAGTGGTTAACGCAGCAAAAAGCAAATGGCATATAGCAGTCTCTCATCTGTCCTTTGCATAAACATCTCTGCTAGGATCCGGAGTTAGGCTTTCTGCTAAATACAAAATATATGGATTAGTAGTGTCACTAAAGGGAAAGTAGGGCATCTTTTTTAACTTAAAATTTTAAATATTGCTATTTTTTACAGCACCAAATCAAATGAAAGCCAAGGAAGGGAGAAACCTGTACAGTTCTTCTCGTTACGATGACTATGACAGATATAGGCGATCTAGAAGTCGGAGTTACGAAAGGAGACGGTCTAGAAGTCGTTCTTTTGATTACAGCTATAGAAGATCGTATAGTCCCAGAAAGTAAGTGTAGTGTGTGTTTGGCTTCAACTGCATAGCAGTCTGTTGGAGGAGACGCACCACATTGACTATTTAATCGTTAAAATTTGGAATAATCTTTTTCTATACTTGCTTTGTAATTACTTGTGGGAGTTACGTATCTTGCATGCTACATCAGATCAGAAATATTGAATGAAATTATTCTGTGCTTCGTTGAAGAATAACTAAAAGCAAATGCACAGTTTGAAAAAGAATTTATTAAGCATTTGTATACATACATAGGTATTTGTCACTGTTTACTTTTTCTGATGTACCTTTTTAGCAGTAGACCTACTGGAAGACCTCGTCGTAGCAGAAGCCATTCGGACAATGATAGGTAAAATATTTTTTCCCCTCTTTAAATTGAAAACTAGATCACTGTATTCCTTTAACTATAGGTTTATAAAAAAGTTTCTCCTGCAAAAAACGATGAACAATTTTTAATGTACTAGATGTCTAAGAATAGTGTTTTTACATTCAAATCTCCTCTCTCCCCTTTATTCTGATAGGTTCAAACACCGCAATCGATCTTTTTCAAGATCTAAGTCCAATTCAAGATCACGATCCAAGTCACAGCCCAAGAAAGAAATGAAGGCTAAATCACGGTCTAGGTCTGCATCTCACACCAAATCTAGAGGCACCTCTAAAACAGATTCTAAAACACACTATAAGTCCAGCTCAAGATATGAAAAGGAGTCGAGAAAAAAAGAACCAGCTAGATCCAAATCACAGTCAAGATCACATTCTAGATCTAGGTCAAAATCCAGATCACGGTCATGGACTAGTCCCAAGTCCAGTGGCCACTAACAGTGTATCCATGTTGTTTTTAGGCATGTAAGATTCATTTACACACAGTTCAGTTTACTTAAATTATCAGGAATATGATGTTGCAACAGTGCTAAAAAATATTTTCTTTGTCAGTTTTCCCTGTAGCCGACAATGGTTAAAATTAAAACAGTGTTGAGAAGCCACTGAGAGAGAGCGAGAAAGAGAGAGAGAGAATGTTCACTTGGTTAAATGTCATGGGCAGCTACTGATTTGGTTGTGGTGTCTCTATGTATATTTTTGTAAAGATTCGCATTTTTAATGCTTAGATATTGGTGATGACTTGATTGATCGTAACTTGCAACATTGTCCTATTAAAATGTCATACCCGTAGAGAAATTGGTACCAGTTTGTGCTGAACAGTTAAACCAACTGTTTAACTTGTTCTTTAATGCTAAACTTTGTGATAAAATGGAAAACTGGACAGCTGTAGTGCAACACTGACTGCTGTGAAATGCAGACTGGCAATTTTATGTTTCCGTTGTTCAAAGGCAGGTTTCTGTGTTCTCCATGCTCGCTGACACGAGTAGGTTGGTAAATGGAGCTCTATGGAGAGATACTGTTGTGATTTCTCTTTAACCCTGCCATCTGGAGGGATGGTACTAACATTGCACGTACTATGTGGGGAGAGAATTGGTCTTGGAAGCTCATTTGGAGACTCTGCAGTGTCTTGACTTGTCAGGATAGAGGCTTCACTGCTTTTGACCTGGCTGCTAGTATTAAATGTGAGAGGGGAAAAAACCAAAACACCTTGAAATGGAAAATTAAATTCAGATTTCAGCAAATGGCAGAGCAACTAAATACTAGGTTGTGTGTACATTTTATGCCAGTTTTGTATCTATTCTAAATTTTAGTGAGCAGTTAACGATAAAATTGCTTAGTTTTCCTGCTGTTAGATACAAGTAGATTGTTTCGAGTTGTGTGTGTACAGTATATAAGAACTAAACTTTTATGCCAATGACTCCTGTGGTTAGTTGGTGTATTCATAGATATAAAACTGTAGCCATCTCTCTTCTTGAGTAACAAAGGCTTGCTTTTAAACATCAAAAAGTATTTGGTCAAGCAAGTCTGAATCACTTCTTCCTCAGACCGGCTAGTGGTTTGGTTACAAGATTTTATTTTACTTAAGAACAAATGTTTGAAGTTGGATATGAACAAGAGCTGCATCTCTAGCTATTTAGTTTATCACTAATACAGTATATTTAGTAAATTGAATGTGAAAAATAACAAAACCAGTGTGTCATCTTACCAGTATTTCTCTAGAAGATACTTTGTTATGAAAATGGCTTTTGGCATTGTTGTTTGTTGTTTTTTTTTTCTCTATTTACCTTCAAAAGCCAGCATCAAACACCTAGTATTCCTTGCTGTCTTATGTAGTAGCATATAAAGACATTGATTTCACAAAGTTCCTTTTTAGAGAAATATTTTAGGTTTGGGTTTTAGCATTTTCAGCAGGGCCTTTGAAGAAATGCAGATGGCTTTTAAATATTGGCGGTGGAACGTGCTTAGGGGGTTGATTCTAGAATTTTTGTACATTTGATTGATAGTATTTCTAACTTTTTCTTTACTATTGGCAGTTAATGTTCATGTTCTGCTATGCAATCATTTATATGCACGTTCCTTTAATTTTGTAGACTTTCCTGGATGTATAGTTTAAAAACAGCAAAAAGTCTATTTAAAACTGTAGCAGTAGTGTGCAGCTCTAGCAGAGGAAAGTTGTGGGATTAAACTTTGTATTTCCTTTCTTATAGAGGCTTCTAAAAAGGTATTTTTATATGTTCTTTTTAACAAATATTGTGTACTACCTTTAAAACATCAATGTTTTGATCAAAATAACTAAAGACCCAGCTTATTTTCTGCTTGCTGTAAATTTAGCAAACGTGCTGTAATAAAAAAATGAAGGAAATACTGATCCACTGGAATTATTGTAGCTTTAGAATTTGACTCCAGAGCATGGTTAGGAGTAGAGCTATGCATCCCTTACGGAGTAAAATCCTTACTATGGTATTTCAGTAAAGTCAGGAATTTATCATTTAGTGTCTGGATAAATACCATTTCACATTTTTAAAGGGGTACTAGACAAAATAAGAATGATAAGCGTATGATTCAGTCTAATATATTGACGTTTGTATTAACTTTCATTATTGCTAGATGGAGTTCCCTGTGGTTATAATTCAGATGTTATTAGCCAGGTCATGAACTACTTAAAATCAGCACTTGAAGATTCATGTAGAACCAAATTTCTAGTATCACCATATCAATTAATATTTTTCCATATCAAAAATTGCACCAGCAGTGGTTCTCTAGAAGGTGGCACAACTTTGCTGATGACATTTAGAATTCGAGCTGCCTCCTGGCACTTGTATTTACAACCAGTTCTTCTTATGCCACCGAACGAAAACAACTCTGAAAAGCACTTAAGTCCTTTGATTAAACCCAACTCTTACACTTTGTAAGCTGAGCTGTGATCTTGTAGCTGTCCATAACAATGGCAGAAAAGCCCACCCTTTTTCAGCTTCCTTAAATGAATATAGTCTTCAACACTAAAAGCCTCCTTAAAAGTGATCCTCCTGAGTGTGTCGTGGGAAAGCGGTGTTATGTTGTTGTCAGCAGGCTGCAAGGGATCACTGTAATTAACATTCATGTGAGTCCAGCTGGAATTACAGCTGGATCAGTGGGGAGGAGGGAGGAGAAATCTTTGTGTCCAGAAATCTCTGAGATTCTAATTTGAGACTGCAAACAGTAACCATACCTTAACTATTTTGTCAGTATGTCCTTATATTGTGTGCCTCAACATTTATGTATAGCACAGTTTAAAAAAATTTTTGTTTTGAAAAATCCAGTTCATTGCAAGTGTAATGTAGTATCTGACAGTTCTGATGGTTGTTTCTTTCTCTCCCAGAGGTAGGACTAAACTTTGACTTGACTTGTGTATATGAACAAGCCAGAAAAGCCGAACACAAACCCACGATGTTTCAAGAGTGCATGAATAAAGATGTTGTCCTAGTTCTTGCTCCCATGGAAAAATTGTGAAGAAGCTGTTCTGTGGGCCTTTCAGTTGGGGACGAGTTAGCAGGATGTGGCCAAAAAAAAAAAAGGGCAGGGAATGTTTATGCATTCATGCAAGTCAAGCCACAGCCCATCTAGATAACATCTCCCTTCCTTGATGCAGGTATCCTAGTCCTGTTCTAAAAAAAATAAAATAAATAAAAGCAGTAGCCTGTCTTGTGCAAGCTACCTGCAGGTTATGCACAGCTGGAATGCAAGAACATATGCAGGCTACAAAAGATCATGTCTAGGCATCTTTCTTTTGGAGTCTCAAGAATGGTGGGAATTATGTTTTTTTTCCTGTGGTAAACTAGATTTTTGTCATTCCTGCAAAATATGTAGAATTGAAGTAGTGTGTTTAAAAAATTTCTGCTGAAAGTAATGGCTGTGCTCCAAAATATCTGCAGCATATTGATTTATCTCAGCAGTCATAGAAGGCTCTATTGGAACTTCTTTTTCACCAAAAGTCCATGCACCCAACTGATAATTAAAAAAAAAATCTTAAAATTTAGTGGTGAAGTAGCTGGGTGTTTAAATTAGGGACTGTAATAGAGTGGTCTCTGAAAACTAAATGTTATCCTTTCTATGTCTTTTAAAGATGTTTAAATGTACATTATAATGGCTTTATTCAAAGTGGAAATTTTCAATTTAAATGTTATTTTGAGCTCTCTTCTTGGAAAGAGCTTTTTTTCTCCTTTTTCTTACTGTTTAGTCTGGGGTAACAGCTTGAACTATGTCCAGAGAAGGGCAAGTGGTTGGATACATATCGCAGCACTGCTACTTGATTTTTTTAGCAGGGATGTTGCAGATGAACATTTTGAAGTACAAAGGCATAAATTTACACATTTTTAGGACATAATCACCCATTAATAATTGCTGGGTTTCTTCCATTTATCTTGTAACTTGCTTAAAAAGTCTGTAGTCCATTGCTATAATATGTCTGAAGATGCTCTTACTGATGAGACTATTCTAGGAAAGGAAGACTATGTACCCTGTAGTGTGTTTGATCAAAAGATGCTAATGTTTTATTCATACACATCCTTTCTTCTTAAGTTTTGTGTTCCATCTGTGCAAATAACCCTGTGAATTGGGAATAAAATGTACAAGTTTTGACTATAACTTGAGAGCACCTTCTGACTTAATTAATACAGCCATAGCCTGTTGGAGATTGATCACCAAGCACCAAATACCTCGCAAGTTCCCTCTGGCCCAGATCGGGATCACAACTCTCCTCAGCTTAAGCTTATCTGCTTACAAGTCTGGCTTTCCTGGGCAGAGGAAAGTTTTTGTCTTTGTGAGTAATGCCAGGGTTGATTTTCAAGCCTCTGTGTTCACAAGTCACTGGCAAAGCATGAATGAAAGGGCTCCTCCTTTGTGGCAATAATAAAGAGATGCTTTTAGGGGGTGAAAACTTTATTTAAATTTTTGTTGTTTCCAATTTGTACATATACCATTAGTAATTGACAATTTGAAGCCAAGTATACACAATCATAATGGGATACAGCTTGTATGCTGGTGAAGGTCCAGGTCACATTGTCCCAAGGTTAAAGACTGCCAATTCCTTCTTATTTGGAGCAATAGATTTGTAAACATTGAACCAGCTGCCAATGCATTTTGAATGTACAGAAAGATCTCAAAGAACACTTCACAAGCTGCAAAACTCCCTTTCCAGTTAAAGCCCTTCTTCAGTAATTACTGTAGTTTGAAATAACCCTGGATTCTGTTATCACATTCAGTTGTTTCCATTACCAGATCAACTGAACTGTGACAGCACTGAAATCCTCGCTCTGGCAACTGCCCCATCCCTGTTCTGAAGTTGATGTATTTCAGCAAATATTAGGACAGCATCAATTCATTTTAGAAACAGCAAACAGTATTTCATCAAACACCCAAACTCAGCCATTTGCATTTCTTGAGAAACATCCAATTTGATTTTGAACACTTTAGTGTTTTTTTTCATCATTTAACACACCTCTCCTATACATTCAGAACATGAGTATCTTAAACTTCAGGTTTTTTTCATTTTCTTAAAAAATTCTAAATAAGCCTCTTTTGCACTGAGTTTACTTTAAAAATGAGCTCACAACCAAGTAAAACGTGCATATTCACTGTACGTTAAGTGCAAGGGCACAGCCACAAATGTCTTTTTTTAAACAAAAATATCTTTTAAATTCAGGCCATGTATTCAACATGGTCATCTTACATTCAGCAGTTTTGTACTAAAAATACTTCTGTGCAGGAAAGCCCAGCATAATTTACATATGCTACAAAGTTTTACACTTATTTACATGGCTCTGTCTTCCCTATGAAAACATTTTAATACCTGTCACAAGCTACTGGAACTTCAATTATTACAGGGTAACCAATTTAAGACCAACCTAAGTAATTACTCCAACCTTTTTCACAATTTAAAAAACTGATACAAAAGTCTATTTTAGAACTCATCAGTGCAGTTGGAATACAAAGGGTTTGGGTTTTTTTTAATTCCACCCCCCCAGTTTTTTGGCAGTTATCTGGCACTGCAGTGTCATTAGTTGGCACAGTCTGACTTGGTGAGAGTCCAAGGAGCATTCCTAGAGCCGGAGAGGTGATCACAGATTTGCCTGGTGTGTTCTTCCAGCCTTTCAAGAACATGCACCAACAGCTCCTAAGCAAATCTGCTCTGCAGTTTAACTAGCAAATTTTACACAAGTCTGAAAGGCAGCAAAGTACCTGACTAAAGCTTTCAGTGCATTTTTTTTGTTCCAGTTAATGCTGCATTAAGTTAGGTAAAAGCTGGTTTTCTAACACCATACCAGAAAGTAGTCACAATTTCAATTTTGAGAGACAGCCCCATTTACTCTTACTGGCAACTGTTCAAGATTTGATTAGATTGATCAGAGAGAAAATACCTATTTCACAGTGAACACAGCACACAATTTTTTGAGGTAAAACATTAGGGGAACGTAAACTTCCAGCCCCTTCTCTTCCAAGTGCCTAACTACATGCAGCAAGAACATCTAGTTCTGTACACCTGTGCATCTGGGGTGAGGAGTAACAATTCTCAAGTTTGAAACCCTGTAAATTTAAATAACTTTAAAAATACGAAAAGTTACATCTCAAGCCTGGACTTTAAGTAATGTTTTAAGCTGAAATGTCATTATTTCCTTATCGGAAGGTTTAAAAGAAACAGGTACCCAGTGGCTTGGTGGCTTAGGAAGAACACTTGGTGAGGGTGGCTCACTAAATTTTGCTCCAGCATAGTTCTGATTGGTTTGAGGTGTGAAAAACAGGTTGCGATTTGATAAAGTAGGACTCCAATTTTGATTACTGGGGAAATGAGCATTGTTCTTTCCCCCTTTTTGCATGGCCTGCCATGCACCAGATGATGAGTTGCATCCATGTCCTCTTTCTTTCTTCATATAGGTCTTCATCTGCGAGTTCTGGTCTTTATTCTTCTGCCTGTTTTTAAGTTGTTGTTGGTTCTTGGTGATATTTCTAGATTGGGGAACTGGAATGTTGAATCTTTCTCCACCACCCATCTTCAACTTAAATGTCACCTGTAAAAACAGGAAAGTCAGTGGAGTTTGCATTACTACTTTTTTTTTTTAAACAAAATATTTCAGAGAATTTTTAGATTCTAAGCAAGGGGACTGAAATCAATCTAACCAAAGCTTATCTCAGTTGAAACTAGTGGTTTTTCTCTTTTACTGGACACCACTTTAGCAGTACCTAAGAATTTAGCTGACATGCTCATGAGCACTGAATTATAATGCAGCATATCTTCCGAGTGGGAGATCACTGATTCTGCAAAGGCTGAACAATTCTGCTGCTGACAGTTGGCCAGCACATCATCCACCAATCCATCCTTAGGAGCTG